TAATTTAGAATTAAAATTTATATAATATATATAATTTATAAATAATTATTTTTTTAATTTTAATTTGATATATATTTTATTTATAATTATTTAATGTATATTTGAAAAATTAATCGATTATAACGGATTATTTAAAAAATTAATCGATTATTTTGAAGATGTAATCGATAAAAATAAATTGTAATCGAGTAATTGAAAAACTAATAGATTAACTTTTGAAATAATCCATTAGTTTTTTAAATATACATTAAGTAAAATATATATATATATATATATATATATATATATATATATATAATATTTTAATGTTTTATTTAAAATATAGAGTTTTAAATTATAAATTGAAAAAATTTATATATTTCTTAAATTAATAATATATTTAGATTTATTGTTAAAAACAATAAAATAATACTTTTAAAATATATTATTAAATATTATATTTATATTTTATTTGTATGGTTAATTTTTTTTAATTCTTTGATTTATTTCATATTATAATATTTATTTTAGAAATGAACAATAAATTAGGAAGATAATAAAACTCTTAAAATTTATATGCATATGAGATAAAATTATATTTTGATGTAAAATTATAGTTTTAAAATGTTTTTTTTTCCATGTTTTATAATATTTTCAAATATATATATATATATATATATATATATATAAAAATGAAAATAAGTTATATTTTGAAATATATATATATATATATTAAAATATAATTTTTTTTAAGTTGATAATTATTATTTTAATTTATGTAAAATATATACATAAAATTAATTTGTAGTTCATATATGTAATTTTATATTTAATTTTAATTTATGTAATATATATATATATATATAATTTATATAATATTTTATTAATTTGATAATTATAAAATTTTTAAGGTTATAATTTTAATATAATTTTTTTTAACTTTATATTTATAACTTATATAATTTATATAACTGATAAATAATTATTTTTTTATTTTAATTTGATATATTTTTTGTTTATAATTATTTAATATATATTTGAAAAACTAATTGATTATTTAAAAATTAATCAATTATTTAAAAAAGTAACCATTTCTCATCGACTAATTGAAAAACTAATCGATAAATTTTGAAATAATTGATTAATATTTTAAATAGTAAAATAATATATATATATATATATATATAATATTATAATGTTTTATTTAAAGTTTATAGTTTTAAATTATAATTTAAAAAGATTTATATATTTATTAGATTAATAATATATTTAGATTTATTGTTAGAAGTAGTAAAATAATATTTTTAAAATATATTATTAAATATTATATTTATATTTTATTTGTTTGATTAATTTTTTTAATTCTTTGATTTATTTGATATAACAATATTTTTTTCAAAATTAATAATAAATTAGGAGGATAATAAAAATCTTAAAATTTATATGTATATAAGATGAAATAATATTTTGATATAAAATTTTTTTTTTATTTATAATATTTGGAATATATATATATATATATATATATATATATATATATATATATATATATATTTTAGAAATGAAATTAAGTTGTATTTTGGAAGATATATATTTTAATTTTAAATATATATATTTTTTTAAGTTGATAATTTTTATTTTTATTTATGAAAAAAATATATATATATATATATATAATTTAAAGTTCATATGTAATTTTAATTTATGTAATATATATATATATATAATTTATATAATATATATAATTTATTTAACATTAAAAATAGTTATATTTTTATTATATTTATAATTATAATTTATTTTAAGGTTATAATTCTAAATATAAAATTTTTTAACTTTGTAATTATAATTTATATAATATATAATTTTTAAATATTTATTTAATTAAATTTTGATTTGATATATATTTTTATTTGTAATTATTTAATGTATATTTAAAATTTTAATCGATTATAATGAGTTATAATTTATTATTTGAAAAAGTAATCGATTTTGATTATAATCTAATAATTAAAAAATTAATCGATTAATTTTTGAAATAATTGATTAATTTTTTAAATATATATTAAGTAAATATATATATATATATATATATATATATATAATATTATAATATTTAATTTATAATTTATAATTTTAAAAAAGATTTATATATTTATTAGATTAATAATATATTTAGATTTATGGTTGAAAGTAGTAAAATAATATTTTTAAAATATTCTATTAAATATTATATTTCTATGATTTTTTTTTATTCTTTGAGTTATTTGATATTGTAATATTATTTTTATAAATTAATAATAAATTAGGAGGATAATAAAAATCTTAAAAATTATGTTCGTGTGTTGTAACATTTTTGGAAATAAAGTTGTGTTACTCGTTATAATTTTCATAATTTGTTAAATTCATATTAATGTTTTAAAAAATTCAGTTCATTGTCTTTTTTGTTTGGAATGTTATAAGAAAACATGATTATCTCATTTTTATCACACTCCCAACCCCACTCATAAGTTCCAAAAAG